GGTGTTCCCCTCTCCTGGTATAATACTCTCAATTCCCTTAACTCCTCTTCCCAGGCTGAGACTTTCCGTTTCCTCTCCGTCCTGGTCATGGTCCTCAGGCTCTACCCACTTGCCAATGTGCCTCCTAATGTGTCACCTCAAAATGCAGTCTGAGCTGCTTGGCATTCAGCAATTCCCATTTACTCAGAGAAATGAAGGCTGAGTAAGCTGAAGGAGAGGACTGACCTTCAGAAGCATGCTTTGTTCAGCCAACTATCTAATTTCCTCATTCAGCAAATACTATTAATAATAATATTCCCAGTGGGAGGCCCATGGAAATCTGGTATCATATTCTGGCTTAAAAATCCTATGATGGCTTCCAATTACTCAGGATAAAACACCTACTCCTGGAGCAGTTGGCTTCTGCCTGCTTCTCTAACCTCAGATTCCACAACCATCCCCTTCTACGCTTCAGCATACTAGACCTCTTTCAGTCTGCTTTAGAGGGATCAAGAAAGAAATTTCTGATTGTGTGTAATTTTTTGAAATTTACTTGAGTGGTCGGGGTGGCGGGATGGGGCAACTGGGTGAAAAATAATAATAATAATAATACATACATACATACATAAAATTTGGCTTTTTGAAGGGAAAAAACTTAAAAATAAACCCAGACTCATTAGCAATCAGACATAATACCATTTTATACCAGCACATAGAATCAAGCATACAATGGGTTAGAGAATATGGCACACATTTTGTTAGGGGGATTACTGAAAATTCTCTCTCTCAAATAAATACAATTTTTTAAAAAAAATGACTAAATTATCTATGGAAGAAAGTTACTTTAGGAAAGTCACTGGTGAGATAAGGACATCCCCATATTTTACCTAAAAACTGAAATGTACATAAAGTCATATCCACAATTAGACAATCGTTGCTTCCCTAACAAATTATGTATCAAAATGTGTTGTAAAAGTTTTTTGATTAAAAGAATAAAAGACGAAAAAACCTAAGTGGTCTAAGCTTGTTTCCTTATCTATGAAATGGAACTAAAAAGAGTACCTCTCAGGGTTTTTGTGAGGGTAAGAAACAAGGATGCCTATAAAACAATGCTTAGCATCAGTCTGGGATAGACAACTGCTCAACACGCAGTAGCCATTTCCACCACCGCTGTTAGGAATGAGGCGTCAAGGGCAGCCGCGGTTCCCGGCTTGGGCAGCGGGGCCCGTGGTGGCGCTGTGTTGGGAGGTGAGGAACGCACACGGTGAGGAAGAGCAGGTTGGCCGAAGAGAAAGTGGTGATTTGAGTTAGCCATTGGGGCTCTGCCTGCCCCCCCTTGCCCTCCTCTAAAGACCCTCAAATCCTGAGACCTTCTAATCCAAGGTTTTTGGTGTTTTTTTTCCTAAAGGTTTTTAACTTGGGCTTTGTGGATGGTCTGTAGGGAGTGCCCAAATCCCGGGATTGTGTGTAAAATGCATTCTTCCCCTGAGAACGCCAAAGCTTTTACCGGTCTCTCAGACAGATTTATGACCCCTGCCCCCCAACAAGGTGAAAACCACAGACCCAAACCATCTCTCTAATGTGACCCACGGCTGTCCCAACACTTGGTCCTCTGCCAAGGATGGGCTATTGTATGTCACACAGAAAGGGGAACCCACGAGGAAGACTGAGGCAACATAGCTAAGCTTCCAGGTCTCCAGATAGAGCCCCTCCCACAGCCCCTATCAAGCCACATTTGGCACTATTATACTTCGTGAGCTGGTTCTCTACCCTCTCTATTTTTTTGGTCATCATGTGCACAAAATTGGATTAATCAAAATCCTTTTTCATGACACATTTTTATCATGTACAACATACTTTTATGCATAGCTTTTCACTCATTCAGTTGACAATAACCTAATCTAACTATATGTTCCCTCCAGCTCCATCCTGTCCCCCTTACCTGTGCGAACCATTATCCTGAATTCCACCGTGAGAACCCTTCCATCCTTTTTACATAGTTTTATGGCATATGTTTGTTAAAAATGTTTTTAAATTCTTAGTTGTATTTAACTCTAAAACATGACAGAGATACAAATTAAAACCGCAATGAGATACTCAGAGACACCCACTGGAATACAGTTTAAAACTTACAAGGCGCCTGGGTGGCTCAGATGGTTGAGCGTCTGCCTTCAGCTCAGGTCGTGATCCCAGGGTCCTGGGATCGAGTTCCGCATCGGGCTCCCTGCTCCTTGGGAGCCTGCTTCTCCCTCTGCCCCCCTCTCTCTGTCTCTCTCTGTCTCTCATGAATAAATTAAAAAAGTTAAAAAAAAAAAACTTCAATACCAACTATTAGCAAGGATGTGCAACAGAGCATTCTTTTGTTTGAATCACCATGATCTGTGTAAGGAATCTTGGCTTTGGGAGAGCTCAAATTAGAAGTTCACGGAAGGGTTTTTATGCTACTCTGGCCATGTAATCAAACCAGAAACACGTAACCCGTTAGGCCAGTTATAAACCATTAGTAACGTTAAGTTTACTTATTCACCGTAAGTAAACCAGTAAAGGAAGTGACCCTGGGAGTCATCAGGGGAGCTTCAGACTTTAAATGGCACATTAGGAATTCTAGACTAGGCTAAACTCTAATGATAGAAAGCAGTGATTTCCTGGGACCAAGGATGGGGGAAGGGGATTGAGTGCAAAGGAGCACTGGGAAGCTTTTTATCTTTTTTATTTTGTAAAGATTTTATTTATTTATTTGACAAGAGAGAGCACAAGTTGGGGGGGGGGCGCAGCAGGCAGAGGGAGAAGCAGGCTCTCCAATGAGCAAGTTCCGATGCGGGGCTCGGGGCTCTATCCCAGGACCCCGGGATCATGACCTGAGCCGAAGGCAGATGCTTAACCGACTGAGCCACCCAGGCGCCCCAAGGGAGCTTTTTAGAAGATAGAATTATTTTCTATATTTTGATGGTGATGGTGATTATATTATTATATATAATTATCAAAATTCATGAAACAGTACGTTTAAAACTGATCAATTATATTGTCTGCAAATAATAACAAATTTTTATGTTTTCCTTTTTTTTTTTTTAAATGGCATCATGCTACATTTACTCTTTTGGGACTGAACTTTTTTCATTTAATATTTTATTATAAAAGTTCATCCATACTGTTTTGTATCACTGTGGTTCATTTGACAGCCATATAATATGCCATTGTGTGAATATTCCAGTTTATTTGTCCACTCCGCTGCTCATGGGCATTTGCGTTTCCTTTTGGGATTGCTATGAACCAATCTTGTACAAATCTTCTGGTGGACATGTATGAGTTTCTCTTGGATTTATCCCTAGTATGGGAATAACTGCGCTGTAGAGTAAGTAGATGTTCAATTACAGGAGATAATCAAACTTTTTTCCAAAGTAGCTCTTTGCCTTTCCAACCTGAGTCAGTCTGTCCCCAGTTAGACTGGGAACCCAGGGGCAGGAGACCCAATCTTGAATTAGCACTGCTTGTAGCATTGCTAGCACCAGGCTGGATACCCAGGAGGCCAGGGGCAGAAGCCCAGGCACCTGAGGCCTCCCAGCCTCAGCCAACACTGAGAGTAGACAGCAGGCCGGGGCCACATACCACCCATGGAGGCTAATTAAAACCCACTCCCTGGAGCTCCATCTTCCTAGCTTCACTCGACTTTGAGTCTGAAAGCTGTTTCAGGGCACTCAGTTACAACACAAATCCCAAGAAAAGAGAAGGCTTAACCTTATCCCAAATCCTTCTCAGCTGACACCTCTAATACCGAAACAAGGATTAGCAGGAAAGGCATAAAGAACAAAATGAGTGACAGAAAGAAGAAGATGTGGGAGATATAAAGTGGAAAGAACCAAGAACACAAATATTCTAAAATTATGCTCCCTTTTCTGCACCAGGGCCAGTTTCTCAGGGAAAAAAATTTTTTTTAATTAAAAAAAGCAATAATTTGCAAGTGACCATTAAGTAATTTTTAATATCCCTGCCATTAAGGGATTACCTTCTTTATGTTAGAGTTACAAAGACAACATAATTAGCATGCAGTCAGAATGACGTAATATTGCCCCAAACTGCACACCCTCAGGGAGGGGAGGCCCTGTGCTGCTGGGGAAGAGCTCTGAGGGACCTAGGGCTAGGCCAAAACAACTAGAACCAGAGTTCAGCCACAGACCAGGAACAAGAAAAATAAAACAAAAAGCATAATATAACAGAAAAAGATATCAGATGCCTAGGTGCTCGGAAAGCAAAAGGAGGAGAGCTGCCATGAAGGAGGACGAGCAGTCTCATCTCCCACGGTCCCAACTGCCACTACACCTCCAACAGCTCCCCGGCTACCTGTCCTACAGGAGCTCCAGGAACACCTGCTACATGGATGAACGACGGCAGAAGCGCCCCAGAGAGGATCACAGCCCTGTGGTGGTGGCAGCTTCCCCCCGCCCCCGCCCCCACCCGGGGCAGCAGTGCTGTGGGCGGCAGGAGCGGGAGAGCTTTCTCAGCGCTAGGAAGCGGATTATCATGATTGGCTTAAGATTTTTAGTTGCTTGTTCCTTAAATTTGATCGTGGGCTGTCTGAAGGAACAACGGAGGCGCGTTTGGGCCCATCGGTTACTGAGGGCTAATCACACGAAGAACTCACTTCAAGTGTGAGAGATGCTCTGTCACCAGAGGTCTGCCACCAGCCTGCCACCAAGAGGTCTCCTTGGCGTTGGGGCCCTAGGAGCTGGCGCTCAGTAACAGCAGCTGGTACAAATGGCACTAACAGTACTTGGACTGACAGGAGGCCTCAACTACAGCCCCAACTCTATGGAGCTTCAACAGTTTTCTAAATTTTTTTTTTAAGATTTTATTTATTTATTTGAGAGAGGAAATAAGATAGAGCATGAGAGGGGGGAGGGTCAGAGGGAGAAGCAGACTCCCCGCTGAGCAGGGAGCCCGATGCAGGAACTCGATCCCGGAACTCAAGGATCATGACCTGAGCCGAAGGCAGTCGCCCAACCAACTGAGCCACCCAGGCGTCCTGGAGCTTCAACAGTTTTATTGGCTAAATGCTTCTTCCCAAGTTTACAGCTTAAAGTGTGGGCCTGCTCACTGGCTCCTCAGCTCTTAATGGGGCAGGAACCTTTAGCACAGGCTTAGAAACGGGGGGAGAGGGTATAATAAGTGAGTTAGAAACCTGCTGATGCTCTCACAATTGGACAGCAGGACAGAAAACTCCTACTTTCTAACGCTGAAAACTGTCTATAGAAAGACTTGAACAGGATGGCGGTAGGACCCAGAGTGCATCTTTGCCACGGGTCTCAGTTTCTGGTGCCTCCACGGGAGTATACCCTTCACCCTCCTACACCAGGACTTTGGGAACAGGGTGATGCTATGTCAGCCTACACATTTTGCAGAAGTACATAGGCCCAAAATTGGCCAAGAGGTTTGGGATTACCAGCTCCCCAACCTGGCAGGATGGGAAGAAAGAAAATGTGTCCATGAAAAGCTTTCGGAAGTGAGTCAGGTCTTCCACCTGAACCTTGATGCTGTATTGATTGGCCAGGAACTCGATGGTGCCTTGCACCACATACTCGTTCTGTAAGTGTGAGAGTGAGCAGGTGGAATAGACAACATGGCCTCCTGGTTTGGTGGCAAGGAGTCCCGCCCTGAAACCAGAAAGAGAGAAAAGCAGTGACTACTGAGCCTCCCAGAAGCAGAAGGACAACACGGGGAGCTGGAAGCATGGACAGTGGAGTCTACTGTGGGATGGGCAGCTGTGTTAGCTTCTGAAGTCCCTTCCACATAGATACACCGGAAGAGTCATTCTCAAGGCAGAGAGCAACCCAGCCTTACTCCATGGGCTCTCGGCCAGAAGCAATCCCCTCAACTCTGACTCTGGTTATGGTCCAAACGCTGATGCTAGCTAGCTATGCACGGAGTCCTTACCAGCCCTACAGGGCCTTGACTTCAGTCACTTTTTTCAAGCTTTCAAACTTGTGCTACGCACTGGGACTGGGACTAGCATGGAGGTAAGGCAACGTAAATGAATCTGTGTGGCCCACCCTATGTGTGTCCTACCACATACGGTTTTCATGTCCCAGAGGACCTTCCTATCATGTCTGTCTCCCCCAGGTAGTTCCTCGATCAGAAGACCCTCCTGGGGATGATGGTTGTGGCAAGAGCTTCCGATCCCCCAGGCGACCAGCCCCCTGGAGCACTGTGGCACGAAGTCGAGAGTGTGGGTAAATCTGTTACTCACGCGAGCAGCTGCACCTGAAGCATAGGCAACATCTGCCGCTCCTTCTTCCTCGACCGCTGAAAGATGTTGTTCTCCTCCTCGTGAAGGGAGTGGCGGTCTGTGGTACAGGGCACGTCCACCAGCACCTGCCCAGAAGTGGTAAAGGGCACAGTCTTAGGGCTCCTTACACGCTCTCTCCCTTAGGCCCTTGCCCTGAGAGGTTTCCCACAGTGCTCCCTCTGCCCATCCTTCCGAGGCAGAGTATCTGACAAAGCTTCTCATTTTAATCTGGTAGATAAATGTGAAATAATGAGTGGGAAAACAGTATATTTAGGTATACTCATGGCTGGTCAAAAAGCCAAAGCCAATACCCAAATAACTATAATTAAATTAACTGATATCGACCTAGAAAGAAGTCTTTCTTTTCTTTTCTTTTTTTAAGATTTTATTTTTAAGTAATCACTACACCCAACGTGGGACTCCAAGCTGAGATCAAGAGACCCGTGTTCTACCAACTGAGCCAGCCATGTGCTTCCTAGAAAGAAGTCTCTCATGCTCTAGGGCTCTGTCCTTGGCTCTGTCCTTAGCTATTTGAATGAAACAACCAATTTACAGGTGATAGAATGCCCAGAAGGTAGCTAATAGACTGAATAACAGGATCAGGATTCAAAATTATTTTATGCTGAAACATCATATCCTATATGGAAAAGTTTTAAAGTGAGAAATATAAAATCATTCATGCATTCACTAAGAGCCTATATTCTGTGCTAGGCACATGAGACAAAAACAAAAATTAAAACAAAAGAAAAAGTTCTATAATTTATGTTTCCAAAGAAATCATCTATGGAAGAGATCTGTGAATTTTAGTTAAGCAGAAACTCCAAGTAAATAAATAATGATAATGGAAGGCTGCAAGCACAGGCTGAGTAAGGATGACAGCTAGGTGTCTAATCTTCATGGCCAGGTACTGTGCTAAGTGCTTTCCTCCAACACGCTCTATGAATCATCTGGATAGTCCTACAGAGCAATATTCCCTACTTTACAAATGAAGAGGCTGAAATCTCAGCAAGAGGAAGCAACTTGCCCAAAGTCAGTAAGTGGCAGCCCTGTGGTACAGACACGGGTTAGGTGGACAGCAGAAGGTCATGCTCTATCCACTCCGTTCTGCTGTCTCCATGTCAAAAAAGCTGAACTGGGGATTCCTACACAGGCAAGAAGCAGCCCTCTTAAGCCTATCCAAGATTCTATAAGCCTTGGTCTTTCAATTTCTTAGAGTGGTTGAGCCAGACTGGTGAGAACTGGACAGATTAGATCAACAAGTCAGATGACAATAGAGTGACAAGAGCTATATACTTTTTTATATTTTTAGAAGTATGTTTTAATAAATACCTTTAGAATATGCCAATTAAAAGAAAATGCAAATAACTTAAAGATAGGAAAAGACTTTCAACATCATTCATAATAAGAGAATATAAATTAGATGCTATCAGCTGGCAAAACCCAAAAAGTTTAAGAACACCAGTGGTGGCAGGATATGAAGACACGGAACTCTTCTGCATTACCGGTAGGAATGAAGCCGATGGAGCCTCCACAGAGAGTGATTTAGTACACTCTGTCAAAATCTTAGATGCATATAAACTGTTTTCCAACAATGATACTTAAAAAGCATAAAAGTTAAAAGGACTGAACCTCAGGGTACACTACTCAATGAAAAAACTACAAAGTTCAAATAGTGAAATTAATACACCACCACTCCTTTTTTCAAAAATACACATACATTGGGGCGCCTGGGTGGCTCAGTTGGTTGGGCATCCAACTCTTGATTTCGGCTCAGGTCAAGATCTCAAGGTTGTGAGATCGGGCCCTGCATTGGGCTCTGGGCTGAGTGTGAAGCCTGCTTGAGATTCTCTCTCTCCCTCTGCCCCTTGCCCTGCTTGTGCACACACATGTGCACACACTCTGTCTCTCTAAAAAAAAAAAGAACCACACACATTTGTATTTGTACATCCACAAAGGATACATCTTAAAGGATACAGAAGAAAATATAAACAATGGTCATCTGTGGGGAGAGGAAGGATGGCTGTGAGACAGGAATAAAAGGGAAGCATACTTCTCACTAGACGCCCTTTTGCACCTTCTGAATTTTGCACCATAATTGAATATTAATACAGCAGTATTAATATTCAAAAATAAATTAGCTTATTCATATTTATTTTAATCAGGGTTTCTGAGCAACCAAGTGAGTTGAGAAGTAAAATAAGTCTACTAACCCTTTTCCCACTCAGTCAGGTTCAAACTCTTTCTTGCTAATTATCTCTAATGAAGATACTACCAACGATTGTGCAGATGGCTGTGTTCTCCCAATCACCCATGGAGAGGTGGCCAGGTCCAGAAATGGCCCTCCATCCTCAAATGTGGAAAGCTGGATCCTACCCACTGAGGGCCTGGAGCTGGGACAGGAAGGCCAGATTTGGCTAGCTGGATGTCTTAGGTCAGGAATCACTCACCCGGTCATAGGTGTCCCCCTCCAGTTCTCCCCACTTCCTGCCATCCCATGAGGTGACTCGAACTCGATTTCTATCCCTGATATCTTGAGGCACATAGCTGTGAAGGACCCTCTGTAGTCTGCCTGTTCGAGAGGTGGACACATCATTGGCAGCGAGATTGCCTGTGGGAATATAAATTGTAGCATTGTTTTTTCTAATTCTGGAAAAAAAGGCCATTGGAACCTTGATAGGGGTTGCACTGAATCTATAGATGGTTGTGGGTAGTAGGGACATTTTATGCCTGTGAGAATAAGGAAACTTCAAGGCCATGCCCCAACAAAACATCCCACCAGCAATGATGCTGATGGAGAGTCAGACCAATTGTTGGGCATAGCCAATCAATGCAGACCCCAGGGGCAGAGGCAAGTGGAAAAGACATGTTTATTATGTACATGGCACAGTACTAGACACTCTAGAGCAGGGGTTGCAAAGGCAACCACAAACCCAGGCCAGAGAGGATATATAAATAAATAAAGTAGACCAAGTGTGAATATTTCTAAATAAGTATGCTCTCTCCTACTTTTTTGAAATGTGTCTCTGTCTTCATCTTCGGCAGATACCACACATTATTTACCAAAAATTTCTTCCCTCTCATTCCTTAGTAATAGAACTCCAATTTTATTTGAGGGAAAGGGGAGCAATGTGCCCCATTTCTTAGCCTCCTTTTATAACTAAGTTATGAACAAGTTTTGGTCAATGAGATGTAGGCATAATTATTGTGTGGGACTTATGGGAAGATGTTTAAAAAGCTAACACAATTAGATGCACCCCTTTTAAACAATCTTTTCTTCCTGCCTTGAATTTGAATGTGGTAACTGGAGTTCTAGCAGCCATCTTGGACCATGAGGCAATCCTGAGGATGGGAGCCAGAAATAAAATAGGCTGCAAAAAGAAAGAAGGAGCCCAAGTCCCTCACGTTTGTGGAGACTCCATACCAGCCCTGGACTGCCTATATCCCAGCTCTCTTATATAAGAGAGAAAAACTTTTCTTCTTTAAGCCAGTTCATTGATTTTCTATTGTATATGGCCAACCTAATCCTAACTGATTCACCATCTATCTTTTATTTTCCCTTTTGTGACAGACACAAAGTTCAAGAAATAGTTCACTTTGCTCTTGGCTCTACTGTAAGAAAAAACATTACTGCAAGCTTGATGATAAATTGTGATTGATACCTGGCCTCAGAGTGAAGAAGTGAAAGGGAGAGGCAGGAACTATGGTGAAGAACTAGAGAGTGCATACCTTATACCTTATGGGAGTGATCACTACCATGCCAGCTTAGTGTTCCCACAAAGATACAGAGTCCCAATTTTGAGGGCACTTAAAGAAGTAAAAATCGGATTCTCTGCTCAAGAGGAATTTGCAGAAGGACATGAACGGAGTACAGAAAAGCTGGGTTCCAATTTTGGTTCTATCTCCAACTCAGGTAAAAGTATCTAATCTCTTTAGGACTCAATTTCCCCCTCCCTAAAATAGGAGGGCTAAACTAGGGAAACTCAGTTGCCTCCTTCCACTGGGATGAAGGACTCCCTTGGGTAAGGAGCTGGGAAGGGGGCAAGGTGCTGGTAATTTAGTACACCTTAGAAAAGCAACTCTCAATGATTTCTCCTTGGCTCTTCTCCTGCCTCTTAGTTCAAGTTCCTCCTCTTCCAAGTAACCCCACCTCACTCATCCCGTTTCTCGTGGATTCCCACAGCACTCAGTCAGATCAGCACAGCCCAGCACAGAGGCTGGGCTCTCTTGCACTGGACTCATTAAACCCCGTGAACACTTTTTCTCCTCTCCCTCTGCACTTCCGAAAGGTAAGATCAAATGTGGTACCTTGCAATCACCCACAGGGCCAACCATGAGGCTGGAAGCTAACCCAAACTGTGCAAGTTGGCTGACGAGAACTGGAAGAGAAGGGGCTAGCCCCGCAAAAAAGGCTCAGGGATAAGGCAAGAGAAGCCTGACTGAGCTCCAGGGTGAGTGGAAAAACAACAGCCCCCGTCTGGATAGTTCTCAGGTCTCCAGGGAAAAAAGGCTGCCTGTTTTAAGGCAGGATGACAGCCAGTAGATAGCCGAAGTGAACACTTAAGAGTGCACATGGCCCGGGCTGGTGGCTGCAAGTACTGAAATGAATAAAACTTGGGTCTGTCGCCAAGGAATTCATTCTTAAAGAGGGAGATGATGCATACGCGGTAAAGCTCTGGTGCAAGGCTAATGTGCCTAAGGGTGCCAGGGTGACACCCACAGCACAGGAGCACAGGACACAGGCGTCGCTTTGCAACCGGCCAGCAGAGGTCATGAGGGGAGACTTCCAGGAGGTAGCACACTTGAGCTGAGGCCGAAAGCTAAAAGGCTATAGGCAGGCCAGCTGGGCTAGAGTGGAGGGTATTCTAGAGAGAAAATGGAACAGGAGCAAAAGATGGAGGCTGATTCAAATAACAGGGAGTAGCAGAATGTGGCTGAAGCACACAAAGTCTGGGGAAGAATGACATAAAGCTATAAAGGGTGGCTGCAGCAGATCTTACTGCTTTTGTTGGCAGACTAAGGAAACGAACCTAACCTTAGAGACAAAAGTAAACAGATACAGAGGAATGAAAGTGTCATGTGTAGATTGATCAGGGCCCTGGTTTAATCTGCCTTCAGAGACCTTGCTCGGCTCAGCAATATTTCTTGGCCAACTGACAGAGGAAGAGAGGAGAAAACTGCAAACAAATATATACCACCTTAGCAAGCGAGGCACTGTACCCCCTCTGACCCTGGGACCAGAGAGCCCGTCCTCTTTGGGAGGCCCCTGACTGGGTGAGGGAGGGAGCCCTCCCTGCCCAAGATACCAGGCCTCTGACTTACGGCAACAGCCAGTCTGAAGCAGTGCTAGTGTCTTTCCCCCGGGCGCTGCACATAAGTCAAGCACGGTGTCGCCAGGCTGTAGGCCAAGGGCCAGGACAGGCAGCAAGGAAGCAGCATCCATCAGGTAGTAGTCCATGACACCCAGGCTGCCAAGCCTAGAAGAGAGGAGACCACCTTAGAGTCAAATTCTAAGTCAGAAGACCCAATGGAAGTCAAAGCCACCAAGTCCATGCCCTCAGGGGCTACTGAGTTCTATTCAGCAAAAACTCATTTCTCAGACCCGCTCACTCACTCATTCATCCACACCGCAGCCAGAGTGACCCAGTTAAAACACAGATCGAGAGGTATCTGGCTGGCTCAGTCAGTGGAGCATGCAACTCTTGATCTCAGGGTTGTGGGGTTTTTTGTTGTTTTGCTTTGTTTAAGGATTTTATTTATTTATTAGAGAGAAAGTGCACACATTAGGGTGGGGGGGAGAAGAAGAGGGAGAAGGAGAGGGACAAGCCAATTCATGCTGAGTTCAAAGCCAGATGCGGGGTCCAATCCCAGGACCCCGACCGAGATCATGACCCAAGCTGAAGCCAAGAGCCAGAGGCCCAACCTACTGAGCCACTGAGGTGCCTCCAGGGTTGTGGGTTTGAGCCCCATGCTGGGTGCAGAGATCACTTAAAAATAAAATCTTAAAAACAAAACCAAACCCCACATATCAATTCATTCTAATCAGCCAAGCTAGCCATCTTGCCCTTCCTTAATTAAGCCAGGTATGCTCTAATCTAAGGCTTTTGTAGCTGTTCTACTTTCTACCCACAAAAATCTTCCCCCAAACAGCCCTGATTTGATTCCTCACTTTTTTCAGTCTCTCCTCAAAGTTCTCTCCACAAAAAGTTATCTCATCAGAGAGGCAATGGCATTCCCTGACTACTCTATCTAAAAATAGCACCCCTACTCCCATCACCTCCTATTTCTCTGTTACATTACTTTTCTTTAAAGCCTTATTGTTCACTTTATATACATGTACAGATGTGTGTGTGTGTGTGTGTGTGTGTGTGTGTGTGTGTGTGTCCTCTCCTCTTCCTCCATCTTTAGAATGAAGGCAGAGACTTTGTTTGTTCACTGTAATAACCCCAGCACCTGAAACACCACCTGGCATACAGGAGGAACTCAGTCTTACTGGATTACATACTGAGACACAAAATTGTTTGTGGGTTTAGAGAAGAATGCCATCAATTGTGCCTCCTACAGTCACCTGAGTCAGGCCTGATGAAGAAATAGGCCCTCATTAGGTAAAGGAAGAAGAGAGGAAGGAGGAAACAGGAGCATTCCAAGAGCAGAAAAAAAGAGTAAGCAAAGGCATGGAAGCAGGGAAAAAGCTCCCTTCCGAAACAGTGAGAAATCTGGTGTAGTAGAAATACAAGGTGAATGAGATTGAGGTTGGAAAACAGATAGAGGCCAGGTTGTAAAAAGCCTTAAACCCTATCCTAAGGAGTCTGGACTGTAACCTGCAGGCAGTTACCAAAGTTTGTAAAAAAAAAAAAAGGGACATGATCATCTGAATAGAGTTTTAGAAAGCTAGGTGGGTTAGAAGGAACAAATTAGAAATAGACAAAGTGAGGGCGCCTGGGTGGCTCAGTTGGTTGAGCGACTGCCTTCGGCTCAGGTCATGATCCTGGAGTCCCGGGATCGAGTCCCACATCGGGCTCCCTGCTCAGCAGGGAGTCTGCTTCTTCCTCTGACCCTCTTCCCTCTCGTGATCTCTCTCTCTCATTCTCTCTCTAATAAATAAATAAAATCTTAAAAAAAAATAGACAAAGTGAGAAGGCTGTGATAAGAGTCCAAGGCATGAAGATAGGCAGGAACCATGTGGGTAGAGACAACAGACAACAGAAACCTAACGGTCACAGGACTCCTCACTCCAAGGCCAGTTGTTTTCATAAGCCATTCTCCTGCCTGAGACACAGCTCAGCCATTGGGGACAGACTCAAGGAGACAGAAACCTGATCCTTGCTGCCCTGACAGGAAGGCTCTGGGAGAAAGATATGACAAGACATGAGACATAGCACCACTGAGGATCCACCAAAAGAGCTACAGTCCCCAGGTTTGAGGTTGTGACACCTTCACAAGTAGACTCAGAGTATGGTGGGATATTTTCAAAGTCGAATCACACCTGGATTGTCCCTGAGGCTGTGTGCCTCGTGCCTCATGGAGAATGACAAGAAATCTGAGAAAAGCACAGAATTCCTGTCACACTAGCACAGGTCTATGAAACCCATTCTCATCAGTTCCTTCCTTTTTGAAGTGTCACTCAACCCTTTTTTGGTTCAGTTTTGAAATCTGCTGAAAGTTACAGTCCCTCTTTCAAAAAGAAAGGCACAACAATTTTTCAAATAATTACAGGAGATTCCTGGACTCCGTAAATACATCCTTGACCTCCTGGGAGATTAGGATTCGCTTGATTTATATGGAACCTACCAAGACAAGAAGGAAACCCAAACCTCTCTGAGTAGAAGCCAAGCACCTCAGGCAACTTAGGAAACCACACGGTGCTGTGTCCACAGTTCTGCCTAAAACCAGCGCCTCTGAACTGATCTCCAACCCTGCCCCAATCTATCTCCCACCCATCCCAATTTACTAACATGATCTTCCTAAAGCATAACTTTGATGAGAAGAATACCACCAGTAAGAGATACTGTTTGTGAGTGCTATATTGTAGGTGCTGTACTGGTGTCTCAGATACATCACTTCATTTAGTCCTCACTAGGACCCTGTGAGGCAGGAGAACCCAGATTCCAGAGCCAGACCATCTGGATCCAGCCCAGCTGCTCAACAACTGTGTGCCTTTAGCAAATAATTCAACTTCTCTGTGCATCAGTGTCCTCGTCTGTAATAAGAGTACCTACCAGACAGGATGATTGTGAGGATTCCTTTGAATTAACAGAAGTTATGTGCTTAGAACAATAGCTGGCACATGAGCTAGAGTATCAGTGCCAATATTTTCCAGATTCGTTTCCAGATAAGGAAACCAAGGGTCAGTTATCCAAAGCTACATGCCCAGTAAGTGATGAAGGCAAAATCCAAATCTAGGTTTTCTTGACTTCAAATCCCATGCTTATAACCACTGTGCATTACTGCCTTTCCCCTACTCAAAAATACTTTCCAGTGGTTCTCTAGAACAAATCTTGGCAATTTACAGCAATATGGAACTAAAGGGTGCATGGTCTGAAGCCATCCAGCCCTAGCAAGTCTAGCCATTTATAAGCAACCCTGGGCCATCAGGAAAATCCCCTTCTCCAAACCTGTAAGTTCCTGGCATTCAAGATTCCCATTCATGGCCCCCCCACATACTCTTCTAGCCCCACCTCCTAGTTTTCCTAAGCATGCAGCCTTCCCTCAAGCCAGTAGCTAGAACTATTGCAAAAGCTTCCTAATTTACATCCTCATTTCATATGTCATACATAGCCCTGCCCCTCTCCAATCTGTTTTCCACACAGCAGCCAGAATTTTAAAAATTCAAATCTGGTCATGTCATTCCCCACCTTAAAACTTTTCATGGCTCCCTCTTTCTTTTAGAGAAAAAGTCCAAAATCCCACATGGCCTAGAAGACCTTCAAAATCTGGCTTCTGCCAGCTTCTGTAGCCTCGCACCCCCATCCCCACCCTCATGCCACCAGCTTTAATTCCTACTCATTTTCAGGTCTTAGCTTAAATTTCATTTCCTCAGAAAAGACTGGGTTAGATCTCCTAATTATAAAATTTCATAGTATCTTGTACTTTTCCTTCGTAGCACTTATCACAATTATAGTTTCTTAACTGTTGTCTTCCTCACTAGACCATAAGTTCCATGAAAGCTTCAGCTGAGCACTGGGATGAGAAGACCAGAAGTCCCCTCATCACCAACCCCTCTGGTACTAACTTTGTGTCTCAAGTTAAGTTTCCCTTGTTCTTTGGTACCAGGAGGTTACTTGTCCTACGCACTTGGATGCATGGCTAAGAGGGCAAAACGAGAAAGCAGTTGCAAATTAATACACATTTTAACTGTAGAGGGCACAGGAAGTGCGCAAATTAGAGATGGCTGTCTTCCATAGGGGAAAATAGAGCAGAACAGGTTCTGGGGTCAACCTGCCTGGGTCTAAATACTAGCTGTACCACTTGCTCTCCCAGGGACCTAAAGCAAGCAAGTACCTTAACTTCTCTGCACCTGTCTCCTCAAATGTAAAAGGGGAACAATAAGATTACCTACCTCAGAGGGCTGTTGACAGAACAAAAGGAGATAACGCACACACAACACTAAGAAAAACACCTAGCATGTATAAGCAATATTATGATCCTCATGAAACAGGACAAGAGCTGGGTCTCTTTCTGTCTACTTCCAGCACACTCAGGACAACCCCAGATCCTACCTGGCAGGAGGGAACCGACTGACATCCCCTCTGGCAAAAGTGAAGCATCGAAGGTTCGGGCTGTAGGCCCCGGAGGCTGGAGTTGGAGTTGGAGTCTGGCCACCCTCAGGCTCCAGTTCCCCGTGGGAAATGGCTTCCTTCACAAAGTCCCTGGCCCTCAGTTGCTCCAGCTCACCACTCACATGATCCCAGGCAGCAAAGTTATTAACCAGTGCACCATACTTCTGCTCTGAAAGGAGACTGACCCGGATGGATGGCCAGAGATCACCAAATTGCACACTGTAGGTCATGTCAAAATTCTGCAGAGCCAGTTGAGTGGCAGGAAATTTGGGCTCTGTGGCAGCCTGAAAGGAAAAGAACAGGTCTTCCAGTCTTGCCTCTCCCCTACCACCTGACCTCACCAATACCTTAGAGCCCTGCAGCAAACGCGGAACCAGCTACTGCCCACTCCCGCCTTTGCATCCTGCCTCTGCCGGCCAGAAAAGAAGTATGAAAGAGAAAAGCAGCGGGGAGCTGGCCTTTCTGTCTCAGGGTTGTAAGAAAGCAAGCTGTAGCTCTCACAACAGCATGTGTGGGTCACCAAGAAAGGGGGCAATCCTTGAGGCCTGGGAGTTAGAAGAACTTAAGAGAATGGGAGCTCACGATAGGACTTTTGAAGAGAGTCTACAGAAGGTTGGAAGAAACTATGAGGGCCCTGGGGGAAGCCTCAGCCTTAAAAACAAAAGATGCTTTCTCTCTGAACAGCCCTTCCATCTTCTAAGGCATTTTCTTGTCTCCTAGCTTATGTGAGCACCACAAAAGACAGACAGCTCAGTGGGATACAAATATCAACCTTCCACATTTGAGGGAAAGATAAAGGTAACTTACCTAAGGTCATGCAGTGACTGACACCATAATGCTCAGAATCATAGGGTTGAGGGTCATTTTGGGGGAGTTCCTAGAGCCCAGGAAAGTGGGATAAGGAGAACTCCTAGAAACCTTGTGGTGTAAACCAAAACAGGGACTTCTCTGGGGGTAGCAGAGAGTGACGGGATTCAGGCGTGCAGAGCATAAACATAGATTAAAAGGAAAATGAAGACATCAGCTGAGGGGTCCTCAGGTAGGTTCTTGTTGCCACAGCTGGGACACTCGGTTGGGCTAGCAGTTCTATTACTGTCAATTCATTTTGCTCTGGCCTACACTTTGGTTTGGTCAGAACTCTTCCTCTGGCCCTCATTTCTTGTTATGGCGGGGACTCTTGCTCCGACCATGACTTTTGCCGGGGCGGGGACTATTGCTCCGGCTCTTGCTACGGTGGGGACTCTTGCCGTGGCCCCGCCTTTTGCCATGGTGGGGACTCTTACTTCGGCTCCGACTTTCACCACGGAGGGCACTCTTGCCCGTGCCCTGACTTTTGCTACGTTGAGAACTCTCACTCTGGCCCTGATTTCCATTACACTGAGGACTCTCGCTCTTATCCTGACTTATGCTTTGGTGGGGACTACTGCTCCGGCTCCGACTTCTCTCCAACTTCTCTTTCCGGCTCTGACTTCTTTGAGGGTGGAGACTCTTGCTTTGACTTTGACTTCTGCTGGGGTGGTGGCTATTCTCACTCCGGTCCCGATTTCTGCTTTGGTGGGTATTCTTGCCCTGGTTGTCACTACTCTGGCATTCACTAATAACAACAGCTGAACTGCAGCTGAGATCAGTGCTACAGCTGGAAGTCTTGGTAGAAGGCAAAGGACAGCTATAGGGAACCTGGGGGCGCTCTTTGCAGCAGCCTCGAGGAGCCACAGAGTAGACATGGAGGCCACAGGGCATGGTGTCACAGGCCACAGGGTGGCACCGGGCTTGGGGGGCAATGGGTAAACTTTGAGGATCAAAGGGTGCTCGCAAAGGGATAAAAGAATAGATGTGGGTGGAACAGGGAGGTGGCACAGGCTGGCGATGAGGTTGGGGTGGGCCCCTGGGAGTGCTATAGATGCCACAGGGGGGCACCATGGTCAGTTTATGACACTGAGGGGGACCAAGGAGTGGGCAAGGATCAGAGGTGGGGGGAACCACAGAATATATATGGGTATTGCATGGGGGTCCTATGGGGAGTCCATAGGAGGTGCTCTGAACATAACTATTGGGTGGGACAGGACAAAGAGGAAGGCGAAGGGGAAGACAGGTGGGAAGAACAGGTTTGAGGGTTTTAGGGATCACAGTAGGTAAGGCAGGTCCTTGGGGAAGTTCTTTGGGGCAGGGATTTGAGCAAGTGGTAATGGATGTCACCATACAAGAAGGACCAGAAGGGCAGGAGGGAGGTGGAGGAGAGGCACTGGCCTTAGGTGGCCTGGGCAGGTTAAGAGGAGTGTGCTGGAGAGGGATGATCAGGGAGCGACATCTGTGGAGAGCACGTGGTTGTTTTAACTCTGAGGATTTGGGAGACTTCACTTGTGGGCCAGCTGGGGTAGGGAGAGGGGGTTCGTTATAGCTTCTGCGGGGGGGTGACTGGGGTGGAGATATAAACTGGTTGCCCAGGGGTGAAGGGAAGAAGACAGAATAAGGATAGTGAGAGGACAGGGGAAGAGGTGGTTCCTGGGGACAGCGGGGACAAGAAATCGTGGTGCCTGGCTCTACAAAGAGGCAAGAGTTCCCACCAGTCTCCCAGGCGAAAATGGGCTCAAAGCAAGGCTTCACTGGAGCCTGGGACTGGGGTGAGCAAGGAGAACCAGTACTCCTAGCAGGCAGACGGATGGCACAACAAGGGCTACCAGGGGCAGCTATATGGGCCTCTTGAGAAAAATGGGAATAGTGAAAAGAGCCCTCTTGAGGTGCAGGTGTGCCTGCCTGAGAAGAAAGTGGGGAGCCACAGCAATTTTTCCCAAGGGGCAAGTCAAGCTGTGGTTTAGGTTCACAAGGGTCTGGAGGCTTAAGGCAGCTACAGCAAAAGCTGCCAGTGTGTGGGGAAGATGCAGGGGAAGGTGGAGGGTCATTGTAACTTCTGCCTGAGGACCAGGGACAAAGCAGAGGGGAGACCCGGGGCCCAGTTTCCAAAACCCTGGGAGAAAGGGGTGGGGACACTACAGCTCTAATTTCCATGGGCTGGTGAGCAAGAGCAGGTGAAATAACCACGGCAGTTCCCAGTGGCCTATGAGTAAGAGTAGGTGAAATGATGGGGCAAGTTCCCTGGGACCCAGGAGTGATGGAAGATGAAATCATGGGGCCAGTTTCCAAAGGCCCATGAGGGAGGATAGGAGAAGTCATCCAGCTGGTTCCCAAGGGCCGATGAGGAAGAGTAGGGGAAGTCACCGGGCTGGTTACCAGGACTGAAGGGTATCCACCACAATAACAGAGGCAAGTCTGCTGGTCAATGCAAGGGCTTCGGGGACAGGGATGCGGTGATCTCGGGGGACTGATCCAGCTGCAATAAGGGCTCCGTGGACGAACAGGGGGTGACCCCAGAAGGCTGAACGGCTCAAAACAAGGGCTCGAAGGGGGCGAACCAGAGAGGATAGGCTCGCGGCAGAAAGGCCTTCCAAGGAGTGGAGAACGTGGTTCAAAAGAACATCTCCCCGGGCGCAGGGGAGGCTGTGGAGGTTGGGAGGGGGGCGGTGGGGGCGGGGAGGGAATCGGTGGAGGTAGGGAGGGTGGCGTGGCGGTTAGGGAAGAAATTCCTGGCCTACAGGTGAGGCCAGAGAAAGGATCTCTGGAGAAGTGGGGAGAGTCCAGGGGGAGAGGGGAGTCGCTGCACCCTTTGCCTGAGTTTGGGGAAAGGCCAGGAGTATGGGCAGGGCGATCGCTGTAACCTTTCCTGGACGCCAGAGGCTGCTCGAGGGTGAGGATGGGGTTGAATCCTTTCTTGGAGGGCGGCGCAGACCCAGGAAGGGAGGGGTTGTCGCTAAAACATTTTTCGAGGGGTGAGGGCGGCGGGGCTGAAAGTTCTAGGAGGAAAGGCGGAGAAGAGGTCATGGAGGGAGGGAGAAAGGGGAGACTGGGTAGGAAAGAAGGGGAGGGAGGGGGGAGAGGGAGGAGGGCAAGTGGAAGGGGTAGTGGGGGCCAAGGGGAAGGTAACCGAGAGCCGGGGAACAAGAGGCGGTGACATAACTGAAAGAATGAGGGCGGCGGTGATGACGTAACTTAGAGGGGCGGAGGCGTAACCCGAGCGACAGCCCAACCCTTGTGACGAAATAAAAGGGCGATAAAAGCGAGTACGTAACAGATGTGAAAGGGAGGAGCCTAGTGACGCACCCTGAGGGGCGGGGAAAAGAGGCCGAAGGCGTTCCAGAGGGGCGGGAGCAGTGAACCTATCCGAGAAGGGTGGGAAGTGGCGGGGCTGGAGAAGTTTCCCGAGGGGTGGTGGCAAAAGGCCGCTATCGCTGTTCCCTCCTGGGCCACCGGCCGGACCTTACCCATTTCTTCTTATGTCGATGTCTCCGCGGGATGGTCGCGAAGTGTGCACGCTTCAGCACGTCCCGAATTCTTCTCACTACCACCGCAGCCATATCAGCGTGCACCGCCGAATAATTCCGACCGGAACCGCAACGGCGGACCCGCGGGTTCCGGAGAGGTGGTGGCGCCAATTTGGGCGAAAATCGGAGGGAATTCCGGCGCTCTCTCTTCCGGGGTTCAGCCCACCTTTACAAACCAGGTGCAAACCCCGCTCCGCCGGGGATCTTCTGTGGGTCTTGGGAAAGAGCAACCACTCGCACAGAAAGATGCCTCTGTTTGGAGCATTGGGAGAGAGTGCGTAAAGGCCCCTAACCCACTTGGGGGCGGGGGGATCAGAGAGGACTAGGCGCTGGCAGTTGAGTACTGAAAGAGTTAGCTAGGCAAAAAGGGGCGGGAAGGTACTTCCAAGCAGAAAGATCCTGAGGTAGAGAAAAACGAGGACAGATTTGTGGGCAGAGGCGGATTTATAGTGGAGCTAACGAAGCTTGAAGAACCTGTCATTTGAATTGCCCCTTCCAAGGCTCTGTCCTTAATATTGTATTGTTTTTCTTACCAAGAGGGCCCTTGAATTGTGTAAGCTGTAGGCGCCACAGAACTTGACTTCACCATAGGGAGCCAGTAGAAAGGAAGGATATGATCAGATAGGTGTTTTTAAAAATGATCATCTGGGAGCTTACCGGTTGGTGAATACACCGAAGTGCTGGGAGAGAGCATGGAAGTTCCCTGTCCTTTCCCTATCTATACCTTGCACTATTGCATCTCTTTGATCTGACTGTCCTGAGTTACATCCTTTAGTAATAAACCAGTGATCAAGTGAGAAACGGGTCTTCTGAGAGCTATGAGCGGCTCCAGCAAGTTACTAGAGCCCAAGGAGGGGGTCGTGGGGACCTCTGATCTCTACGTAGTGAGTCAGAAGTACAGATGTGAGCTGTCAGCCAGTGGAGCTTAAGTATTCAAAAGTAATCAGTCACTATTTCAAACTCCATCGAAGAGTCATATCGCTTTCAGGAGGCAGGAAATTTGGGTACATTTTTACTGGAGTTACAGGAGTGATGAAGCAAGTGTGAATTTTAAGACAACAGTCTCCACTACCATAGAAAATTAGAAGTAGTGAAGAAACTGTAGCACTTTGAGCTTTTCCAGTATTTTATGGATTGTGAACTGTCAAAGCTACATGTGAATGAGGGAATTTTTAACCTTTGCTCAAACTGTGTTCTTTTTTTTTTTTAAGATTTTATTTATTTGTCAGAGAGAGAGCGAGAGCAAGCACAAGCCTGGGGAGAGCACAAGCAGGGTGAGCAGCGGCAGGCAGGAGGAGAAATAGGCTCCCCGCTGAGCAAGGAGCCCCATCTGGGACTTGATCCCAGGAGCCTGGGATCATGACCTGAGCCAAAGGCAGACGCTCAACCACTGAGCCACCCAGGCTTCCCTAAACAGTATTATTCTTAATGTGAGTTGTAAAGTTCCAGTGAAAAACATACACCTTTATTTCCACATTTGCAGGAGTAGTTACCAAAACTTTAAATATCACAAATAGAATCTTATGTTTATCACTAAAAAAAAAAAAAAAAGAAAAAAATCATCTGACATTTGATGATCAGAGTAAATAGGATTATGGCAGGGAGATCAGATGAGAGAAGATGGTTCTGGATTAGTGTAGTGCTAGTGAAGATAGAAAAGGATTGATTCCACTTACAATTCAGAGAGAATTACAGGATTTGTTGATTGATTGGCCCCATCTATTTAAACCAGTACATGCTACACCACCAGTTAATAGCTGTCCTCTTAACCTGCT